GGTGCGGGGAGGAAGAGGTAGGGTAATGTGAGGGATGGAGACCATGGCTCGGGACGACGATGGGGGCGGGGAGAGGGGGGAAGCGGTCCTGGCCGTGCGGGTGTTGGTGGTGCGTCGATATTTGCGACGAGTGCGAGTGCGAGTGCGTACGAAAGTGCGTGCGCGTATGCGATTGAGTCTGACTTTGACTTTGAGGGTGCGAATGCGAGATCGAATGTGATGAAAGGGAATCCACATGCGCATGCGCGCGCGAAGGCAAAGGCGAGAGGGGGAACGTCCCTTTCCTGTCCTCCTCCTCCTCCCTTTCCTCGTCGTGCTCGTGCTCGTGCTCCGCCTCAGCAGAAAGCGTCGTCCGCGTCGACGAGTCGCGCGGCGGGTGGTGCTGGGGCGCGGAGTACAGATGCGGGATGAGGCTGCTGGGGAGCGAGCTCTGGCGCGGGGGCGGCGCAGCAGCCGTCGCCGTTGTCGCTGTCGTTGTGGTCGGGGGCGGGGGCGGGTGTTGCGTCGATAGTGTTTGTGCTGGTGATACGGGTGGGGGTTCTTTGTCGGTGTCGCGCCGTCGTCGATTCGCCATGACGGTGCGGACGCCGCGGGGAGGTGGTGGTGGTGAGACAGACGCTCTCCGGGGGCGGGTGTTGGGGCGGGGGCGGGGGCAGGCGCAGGGACTGCGAATCGTTCGCGTTTGTTCTTTGTCGTCGGTGTCGGGATCACTGTATGCGGAGGCGGAGGCAGAGCCACCAGAAAACGGACTCGGACTCGAATCTGAACAGAAACAGAAACGGAGGCAGAACTTGAGTCGGAGGAGGAGGCAAAAGCTGAAGCAAAAGCAAAAGCAAAAGTAGAGGCAGAGACAGAAAACAGGCGGGCAGCGCCCCGAGCATCCATCCAGGCCCGTGCCAACGCCCGATTGCACACTGGCTAAAGCACTGAGTAGTAATGAAGAGCAAAAGGGACTTGTTGGAGGGGGTGAGGGGGGGAACAAGCTTCCGCCGCCGCCGTGCGCAAAAAGGTCAAATTTCAAACACGAATCGGAAAAAATTAGGGCGACGGAACGATCGACATAACGGATGGATATGGATATGGATGAGGGAAGTACTCGGATAGGGTGGATAATATGGATGGATGGGCGGATGGATGGATGGGAGAATTGGAACGATCGTATACATTGCACATTACTTCCGCCCGTCTGCCACCTTCGAGAGGACCAGGTCTCTCGCAGTCTGAACTCAGCGGCGCTGCTGATACACGGGATCACCCATGGGCGAGGGCCACTCAGAGAAATGGAACCAAATCATCCAAATCGGTTTTTGGGCCTCGGGGAGCGAGAAAAGGCCCCAGCGAGGTCAGGTCTCCTTTTTTCCAGCGTCCAGCCCCCCCAGGAGGACGCGATCGATAATACGCTGCAGTCTGCGCACCTCTGGGCCAAGCGAAAACATATCTTTCCTAAAGGGTCCTATCTCCGTGTTTGGCTAGACCGACCCGACGGAGTGGTATCCCCCTGTCCCAACTCTATCAGGCATTAAACGTCGTGCAAAACGTGGCCTTTCTCTCTCCCTGGTTCTCGTACTACACTACAAGAGTGCGTAAGGAAAGCGGGTCTTAAAAGGTGGATTTTCCGCGGGATCATAATGAGACATGGGACGGAAGTATGTAACCCAGAAACGCCAGTGCAGGCAAATGATGATGATGTCGATGATGGATCAAACAGAGGAGGGGCCGGCTCACACCCGCACCCGTTCCTCCGTCCGCCACATGGCTAAAAAGTCCCCTTTCTCTCCGTCGCAGACGACCCGCGGGAGTACCTCTCTCATAAAATGAAGATCGTACATTGTCTAGCAGGCCCAGGCGTTCGTCAGCAGGCGCGCGCATGCGCAGTTCCAGCATAATTTCAGTGAGGAGGCGCCAGCCAATGGGAGCGCGAGGTGATCTCGGTACCTTACGTCGGAGTTCGAAGTGTCGGGATCCGGGATCGGCGTGGGACATCCCTAATGGGGACTTCCGTCCCCGCGCCTGATCCGGTAATGGGATTGGACATAATCGGCCGGACGGGTATACTGACTCGGAGGGTGCCATTACATAGTCGGACTTTGCAAATTTTGGACCAGCTCGTCACTACTCGTCGCGTCCACCACACGCGCTGCGATGCCCCCGAAAACGCCTATGCACCACAGGATTCTGCTCGCGAAGAGGGCGCTCTCGACGTCCGCGAGATGCCAGGAGAAGCCGGTCTTGAACCGCTACAGTCGCGTCGTCACGCAGCCCAAGGACCAGGGAGCCAGTCAGGTATGAGCTATTTCAGCATGGGGTAGGGGAGCGGTGCTCAGGTGTGCTGCAGGCGATGTTGTACGCTACGGATGGCATTAAGACGGACGACGACTTTCAAAAGGCGATGGTGGGTGTTGCGAGCGTATGGTGCGTCGTTTCGTTCAATCAGAATGCGTGCATTTGTGACTGACTATCGTCATAGGTATGAAGGAAACCCGTATGCACCTGTCCTGCACATTCACTTGCCAGCGCGTCTCTCACCTTCGACTTTAGATGCAACAAGCACCTCCTCGGGCTCGGTCAAGAGATCAAGGCCTCGCTCACCAAGTCCGACATTATTGGGTACCAGTTTGGCACCGTCGGTGTCAGCGATGGCATCAGCATGGGCACACGCGGGATGTCGTTCTCCCTCCAATCTCGCGACTTGATAGCAGATCAGGTGGAGACTGCAGCTGGTGGTCACCACCTCGATGGTATGGTCGTCGTTCCTGGTTGTGACAAGAATATGCCCGGCGTTCTGATGGCCCGTCAGTATTTTTCTCTTCACCTTCACCTCCTCCCGGTGCTGACTTCTTCGTGACCTCTAACGCCGTCTTTGACTTACTCGTGTTGATGCGGGATTACTTCTACTTGCCGTGCAATTGTAGTGGGCCGTCTGAACCGTCCCGGTCTCATGGTGTACGGCGGAACCATCCGCGCGGGCTCGTGTGAAGGAGCGCCACAGCTCGACATCGTATCCGCGTTCCAGTCATACGGTAAATACCTCCAGGACGGAAGGACACCGGAGGCGGAACGCGAGCGGTACAACACCGTCCGACACGCCTGCCCGGGCCCAGGCGCATGTGGGGGTGCAAGTTCTATTTCCCCTCTATCCCGCCTCGTTCTCCCCACTTACACGTCCCTTTGTTTGTTGTTCGGATGCAGATGTACACTGCGAACACCATGGCCAGTGCTATCGAAGCGCTGGGGATGTCCCTGCCTGGCTCTTCCTCTTTCCCGGCTGAATCGAGAGAGAAATACGACGAGTGTGCAAGCATAGGCCCTGTCATGTACAACCTCCTTGCCAAAAACATTCTCCCGAGGCAAATCATGACCCGCTCTGCCTTCGAGAACGCCCTGGTAAACCGATCTCTCAGAGAGTCTTGTGTCGAACTATCACATACTGACAAGACGCCGTCGTTCCTCAGGTTCTGACTATGATTCTCGGCGGTTCGACGAACGCGGTCCTACATCTTATCGCTATAGCGCACTCGGTCGGCATTAAACTGGGCATCGACGACGTCCAGAACGTGTCAGACCGTATCCCCTTCCTCGCAGACATTAAGCCGAGCGGTAAATATGTCATGGAAGATATCTACAAGCTCGGTGGTATTCCGAGTACGAGGCTTCCCATTCACTACACGTGTATTTATTGCTTATCTGTCGCCTTTTTTACTTCGTCACAGAGATATTGGCTTTCCTGCTGGAGAACAAGCTGATAGATGGTAACAATCTGACCATTACCGGCCGCACTCTCGGTGAAAACCTAGAGGAGTGGACGCACAAGTACGGCGCCTTGGAGTTCCGGAGCCAGGATATCATCCGGCCACTAGACAATCCCATTAAATCTACTGGACACATCAGGTACGATCCGTCCAAACGACGGAGCTCCAACGTCGTGTACTGTAGGACTTACACGTTTATGTTTCTCCCTCTTCTTTTCCGCTCCGTTTAGAATCCTCAAAGGAAACCTTGCACCCGGTGGCGCAGTGGCCAAAATTACAGGGAAGGAAGGCTTGGGATTTGTTGGGAAGGCACGTGCCTTTGATTCTGAAGACGACTTTGTCAAGGCCGTCGAGACCGGCTCTATCAAGAAGGGTGAAAAGACCGTCGTTATTCTACGCTATTTGGGACCCAAGGGAGGACCGGGTAAGTCCATACGCCATTGCACTGCACTTCCTCTTTGGTCTGGGCACATCATGTTTGATGCTCGCGCTCTTCCTTTCTGTTCGATGGAGGGTCTCTCCCCGAGAATGTCTTTATTGCTCCGTCTTTTTTCCCATCGTTTCCGTGTTATGTCACAACTTATGCTTTTGCGTTTTCGTGTCTCCGTGATAGGTATGCCGGAAATGCTGAAGCCAACGAGTTTGATCATGGGCGCCGGTCTGGGTTTAGACGTCGCCTGTCTCACGGATGGGCGATTCAGCGGAGGGTGGGTCTTCTCTTCTGTCTAAATAACTTCTTTCGCGTCCCTATACCAAGCAGTGAACTGACTTCTGGGTTTCTTTCACGCCTCGCTTCCTTCCTTTCGCCGTTTGCTGTGGGTTCTCTTGCCTTCTTCACCTCTGAACCTTGGCTATGTCCGTGCCCGATGACACGCTCGCGTTCTCAACAATCCGGCTGTCCTTTATTCGCTTTATTTATAGGTCTCATGGGTTCTGCATTGGGCACGTCGTACCAGAGGCGCAAGAAGGCGGACCGATCGCGCTCGTCAAGGATGGTGATATTATCGCTGTTGACGCGGTGAAGAACACCATCGAGCTACGCGTGCCCGAAGAGGAGCTCGAGCAACGACGCGCGGAATGGAAGGCGCCACCGCTCAAGGTAACCCAGGGTACGCTATACAAGTACACCAAGGTCGTCACAGACGCTAGCCATGGCTGCGTAACCGATGCTTGAGTCGCCGGACGGCCGGGCTGCGGGTACTGCATGCGCCGTTGCCGTGTGTGCTCGGCGACGGGGGAACGGAGGCATCCAGGAGACGCAAAACGGACGGCGGAACCTTTCGCCGCCCTTTGGGATTTTTTTTTCTTCCACGGACCATCTTTCGAATTCATTCGCGGATGGACGGTTCAATGGCGCGTGCCGTTCCCTGGCCCATGCACCGCCTTTTTCGATCACGAACTCTCACTGACTGATCGGGGGGAAAAGGGAGGACGGGAACGGGATTTAGAGTGGACCCTTGCCCGAACATGTTGGGACGCCGAGCGGCTCTTTTCTCTTGATTCTCTTCATAACAAAAGTAATCGTGTATAATACTATGTCGACGACTTCGTATCTAGACAAACAGTAACTGTTTTGCTATCGCAATGCACCATCTGAGTCCTCGCATATTTTTGGGACGGGACGGTTT